CCAATAGAACATTTAAAAAGAAGACCAATATAAACTACTTGGAAGAGGTTACAAAAAAATTAAAACTATTAAATGTAAACCCAAGATCCTTACGGAATAAAGGATTCCAGTTAGAAGCATTTATAGCTGACAAGAATTTTGACATTTTATGTATCACGGAACATTGGCTAAGTGAAACTGAAATATCTTCATTCTGTATTAATGGGTATGTTGCTGCCGGTTATAGTGCAAGACAGACAGTTACAAGTGGAGGTACAGTTATTTTTTTCTAAGAGTGGTCTGAAGGCAATTACTAAGAACTACAATATTGAAAAATATTTTGAATTTTGCTGTGGTGTGTTTAAAAGGTTTCAATATGTTCGTTTTAACTGTATATAGGTCGCCGTTGGGCGAGTTTGACTCTTGTTTGGAAGCAATAAAGAAAGTTTTGAATTCTCTCCCCATTATTTATAAAGAAAAATGCGCAAACATTGCATGACTATCAAAGCAGAGGTCGGGACAATGTAAAATCTGTTCATAGATATAAGAAAGTCACTAACTGATACGAGTTAAGGAGAGACCCGTGGAAGCTGTACGAATGAAATATGGCCGAACAGGTCTGTAATTTGCTTATAAATTAATTATTTTTGTCGTTTTGTTAGGAAAGATACAAAACAATATTTATTTATTTATGTATGTATTTATGTTTAAATCTAAAATAAAATTACAAATTATTTTTATTACCTACTTAAATTACTTAAAATTATTCACATAATATATCAGAATCACTATCGCTATCATCGCCTGTTCTAATTATTATTTCTTCTATATTATTTGCAATAGCGATACACGATTGTTCTGCTTTTTCTATATGTTTACCAGAATTTGCCCAGGTTTGTGGAGGTATGATAAAAACTTCGGTTTCTATAAGTTTGAGGACATTGGAGTTAACACGGGGAAAAACATTGTTACGACGAATGGCAGATTTCAGTTGGTGCCAAACATGTTCAATGGGATTAAATATACAGTGGTAAACTGTATGCCCTAGATTTTTTGCATAATTATCACAGACGTATTCCTTTTGTAGGTTCAAGCTTTGAAGAACCTCAAATAATTGCTTTATGGTATAATGTTCGTGAAAATAAATATCGTTATTATACATGTAGTTTTGGATTGTTGCTTTTGTGGTTTTAGTCAACTGTCTACTGTGATAACTTGCATCGTCCATTACAATGACGCTATTAGGAGGAATGTTTGGAACTAGTTTGGTTTTAAACCAACTTTCAAATAAATCAGCGGTGGTGTCTTCATGGTAATCCAGAGAAGAATGTTTAATATTTTTCGCAGACAGAGAAAGTCCATTTGGAATCCAACCATCTTTAGAGCCGGTATGTTATTCTTGTACCTCTTTTTGATGGCGCGTTTATTTTACACTTATAAGTTGAGTCAATCCAACCCTTTTCCAGGGTATCATAAGTGTCGAACCAGGTTTCATCGAAGTAAATAATTGACCTTTGTTGTTCTCTGTAAATCATAATTTTTTCTAGATATTCCAGTCGCCATTTTCGAATTCTAAAAGATTCCATTAACACTTACCTTTGTCAATAAGGTAGTTCTGCCACATTCAACACCGGTTTCATCTTTTTCAAGCCTCCTAGTTAAGATATCTAATGTAGGCATGCTTTGTTCCTCGTATAACTGGTAAATTTGACGCCGTATTATATCTTGATCACTTTCATCTACACTCTAGGAAATGTCAGCATTGCTTCTTTTTTTCCTCGCTGAAATGGTATTATTCACAATTTTCCATACAGTTGACGTTGGAATTTTCGTCAATGTGGCCGTTTCTTCTAAAGATGCTTGCTTGCTGGCACCACGTTCAATGAGAGTCAAATAAACATTGTTAATTTGCTTAGTCCCAATAGAATACTGTTTTCTACATTTGGGCGGGAGCATCTCCTGAGATACACTAGACTGGGACATATTTTGTATAATTCGCACATGATTCAACACACGCTGTATTACACACGAAATAAGAACGATTACTTATAAACTAAAACTAAGTAGTACACCAAACCAAAGAATATTAAACAGAGGTAGGTATAAAATTATTTTCTATTACGGACCACAATTGTACCTGAATTTAAATTCCGAAACTTTGTATGTTAATGACCACCCTTGGATAATCCCATTCAAAAGCAATTGGTCACTTTCTTATATCTATGAACAGACCATACCCCCATTGCGCTTCCATATGCTGTTCGTAATTTACCATTTGACATGTATAAACAAACAGTCAGACGATTTTTAATTAATCAGCATTTTTATTCTTGTGATGAATATTTGTGTTTCAATTGTGGTGTACCAGGTGCATTTTAAGTATATGTTATTTTATTCTTTTTTGTTTAACGTATGTAAATCATATGTGATAGTGACATTAATAAAGTATTCTTATTCGTATTCGTACTATTTTGAAAAGTGCGAAGGATTAGTAAAAATAAAGTTTATGAATCCGCCAAGAAAAAGTGTGAGAGAAAGAAACTTTTAGGGTTGGGTGTGGAAGTGATCCAAATTGAAATAAGACCAAAGCAGGTTGATATTTATCAAATACGGATGCCGCCAGCCTGACAAACACTTATTCTAGCTAATTTATCCAAGAAACTATCTACAAATCATCTGCATTTCTCCTGAGTCGGTTGTTGATGAACTGAACTTGCTGATATTTCACCAATCCTCCTGTGGAAGAAGCCAACAGGATCATTGTTGGAACATCAGCAAGTTCGATTCATCAACCACCGACGCAGGAGAAATCCAAAAAATTTGTCAATAGTACTTATTGAAGCTGTTTCTTTTGATGAATGTCAACAGGTAAAGCTCGTTTGTTATGACAATTGATCAATTGTTATCGCTTTTCGAAAAAAGGCTTCCAACTCTACAACGTATTTTATGACTGCAATTTGGGTTGAAATATCGTTGGCGGTCGCCGTCAAAACGACGCGAGCAACGGCTTTAAAAGTAAGACGGATCGCAGGGCGTCTTTTATACTGCGTTTAAAGAGAAGGCGCTTCATCCAGGAATCATTCATCATTAAAATAAGATTATCTGGAGACGTGTTTAATACACATGTTAAGGCGTAAATTGAACGGGAAGTTTATAGTATATTATAGTAACTTTCCATGGTCCGACCAGCTAGATTTAACCACGACTAATCAGTGAAGTCGAACTGAAATGCGCGTCGTGAGAGAAAATGGCAAATTTATTGATATAAATGGAAGAATGTTTTTTTTTAAATATTTTTACAAAATTAAATTTATATTTTATTATTATTAACTTCTTAGGAAGCCTTCGAAAAAAGCCCAAAAAAAGTAAATACGTTTTTACCTAAATATGTACACGGTGGTGCATCTAAGATGCTGAGACACTGAGGAAAAAAAGTTAAATACAAAAAGTGTTTGACCCTAAGTATATATTTTATTTTCAGTATTTTTATGCATATGTATATGTTCCGTTGGGCCAGGAATCAACTTTATTTTTCTAAATAGACGTACATACATGTTTTTTCTAATTAAAAGAAAATCAAATGAATATCGTGTAAAAGAAATTAAGTAACAGGACCGGAGAAGTGTTTATGTGTGTATAGGCTATCGAATAATAGGGCCAGTATTTTATGACTTTCTTCTGAATAGTGAGAGATATTCAAATTGGTTGACCGTTTAACTTGGTGCATGGAGACTAGACTATTGAAGTTGAAGGCTGAAACCCGAAGCGACCCACGATTTGATAACCGTCGAATCCGTATTTTAAGAGGTAGATGGAGACAAATTAGACCCCGTGTTTGCAAACCAATCCCGGAAAACAAATAATGTTTTTTGGTGGAATTATGGTTAGTGAAAGAACTCCTTTAATTCTCATTCGAAAACCCCTAAAATATTATAGGTATATTGATATAGTTTTCCAACGACCCGTATTCAGGTCTGGTGAGGTAGTTTTTGAGTATTCATACCATCAGAATAGAAATGGAGGATTTGTTAGAGTGGCCTTCTTGCTCGCCGGATCTTAATCCTATGGGATGGGATGAACAACTTATATAAGCGGTTACCCAAGAAGAAATTAATCATTTCATAAGGCCTCATCGAAATCGTGCTTGCATCGATGCTAGAGGTGGCATTTTCAGAAAAATCACTTTTATAAAAAATACCATTTGTTAACTGTTTTGTTATTAAGAAAATTGTAATTATTTTTATTTATTTTTGTAATAAATTGTTTCGAAAAACTTTACTGGTGAATATAATATTGAAATTAAATTCTATTTCTTTCTTTTCCTATAGTAGTATTTACATTACTGTAACCGTATGGAACAAAATATTTTAATATTTGTTGATTAATTATCATGCAATTATTAGTAGATATTCTACATAAATAAGTTTCTCACCGTCAAAAATAGTCAAAGTAGTCAACCACTTAGTTCAAAGAAGGATAAACGAATGAAATGATTTCACAAAGCAGCTCTTAATAAAAATTTACCCTCAAAATTCAAACACGTAGAAAAATGGAGAAATAAATATAAACAATCTTGTACTACAGGTGTCAACCATTGGTCTGAATGTGTATGACAAACTCTAACTAAAACAAAATCCAAATTGGCTGCATTAATAATAACAAATTTCACATTTTTCAAAAGCTTAAAAGCCGGCGACGAAATAATAAAAATATATAATTTCTTGTAAAGAAGAAAATATTGCACCAAGGAACTGTACATGAAAAAAAGAATACAGAATAATTTCTTCTACGGCTTGCATGCAAAATGGGACGGATTTTTCGATATTGATATTTAACCCGTTTGCCCACTGCTCTGTTTAAATTGCTTTTTATAAGCTAAAAAAAAATCATTTCACTTAAAAGTTTAAGTTTAAAATTATATTTTCAATTTTTGCTATACTTTGCAATAATAGAGATATGAACCTCTCAGATAATTCGAAAATTGGTAGTTCAGGACGTAATATTTCTTATTTTTATTTCAGGTGAAGTAAAAAGCGAAAGGCACGTAAGAAGTTACGCAGTGCGTAGTCGGGACTATTCTCCAGGGAACTCGCTAAAAGCTTCGAGTCGTGGAACTGGCTTTTTAACTTCGAATTATTCCGTGGTTGTTGCTCAAGTCGGAGGGACTGCTAAACTTCCTTGTGTCGTTAGTAAAATTAATAATGGCGTGGTAAGTGTTTCTAATGAATAACTTTAGTAAATAAAATATGGCGTTGAGAAACTGGGATATCATCCATTGCAAACTAGCTTTCAAGCGGTTGAATGATTTATGACGTGTGGGACGGTCGCGCTAAGAGGCTTTTGAAGTCTGTTTCATATAAATGTATATAATAATCTATGTAATATAAATGTAACGATTGCTCTATATCAGCAGCTTGTACCATAGCTATTAGCATTGATAACTTGCGTCTACTTTGCCAAAATATTGATTATTTGGGAAGGATACTAATAAGCATGTCATTAAATCAATGTAGTTTGGTAGGAATGCGAGATGAAATAACCATTTAACGTTTAGAAATAGATGGCTATATTATTGAATTGGACTCTATAAGCGGTTGTGTAAGACCAACTTCACTATATCCACTAAACTTTGTCAGACGAAAGTCGTTTTTTAATTATGTGATAAATTCGGTTCCTCGCGTCTTATTAATTTGGTGTTTAAAGTATCCGAGCATCGTTATTTTTAAAAGGAATGACCAAGTTTAATAATGAGGACTTTTCAGATATGCATTAGCTAATAGAACGTCGATGAGAATCTTCAATAGAAAAATTGGAAATAATCTGAATATTTCGCACGTCTGGGTTCAAAAAATTTTGCACAATTTTCTATTGCACCCGATGAAAACCCCCATGGAGTTGGAGAATTTATACATCAAGAATAGTTTTCGGTAGATGTTTGAGCTGTAATTGTTGGAAATTAATTAATTGGACCCTTTATCCTGCCAGAATGGCTAAATGGCCATAATTATCTCCGGTTTTTAGAAGAAGCTAATATTTCTAAAAGAAATGAGGAACAGAATACGGTGTAGTGTTTCAGTAAGGGAACATTTAAATAATACATTTAATACCCGATGCGTAGGTCGCGGCGGACCTCAACCATGGCTCCCTAGGTCCCCAGATTTAAATAGTTTGGACTTTTTCTTGTGGGGACATCTTAAAAGTCTGGTTTATGGCAGCCCAATTAACACTGTAGAAGAGTTTAAGGATCGTAGGAGAGCTTATATGAATATATGAAGAAAGCAGCTGAAACGTGTGTCCTTCAGCAGCTTATCTAGTTTCTATGTTCTACTTTTTTTTTGAAAAAGTTTGTTATTAATTTATTAATATTCAACTATTTTAAAAATTATTAACAGTAGGTAGTGTTTTTTTTGTAAAATAAGAATCGTTAATTATTTATCTTGTTAGGATTTTATGTTATTTCATTAGAACTGTAAAAGTTAAAAAAATAATAATTTGTTTGTAGTTTATAACTGAAAACTAGATATTTCGTTTTAGACTGATATCTGGATTTTCACAAGAAGAAGTTCTGGATTTAACCAGTGGCGACCTAATTAACGAAAATATTATTTGTTTATGGACAGTCAGTGGCAAGCCACTGATTTCCTTAATTATGATCTATTAGTTTGATCTCTTATTTTTTTTTTACTCTATCTCGCGGTTTTCACTTAAAAATTTGCGTGCTCTCAAATTAGCGATATTATTATGACCATGCAGAGAAGAGGTTTTTATTTTTTTAAGCGAAAACCGTACATCGTATTGAAAGAAATAGCGAAGTTCAATTTTTTTGGAAATGATTGGAGATTACAAGAATAATTTTTATTTTAACAGAAATCATTGTCGTACCGTCAATGTTTGCCAGAACAGACAGGTGCAATTCCGTATGCACGCCACTGGTGCATTTGTGGTACACTAAATAATGCCTCTTGATACATAGTACACGTGTGTCAAATTTCATTAAAATACCTAAAGGGGTATTACAGATATAAAAATAATTAACAAATATATAAATATATTTTATTTTTGAAAACTTTTCCACCCTGTATCTGAAAGGTAAAGACGTTAAGGACATATGGATTAATTAATTAACTGAAAGGTTATAATGTTTTTCATCAAAATAGCTGAGCTGCAATTTACGAAAGCCCATATTTGATTTATACCAAAAATTTTTATTTCACGGCGGGCGGATAATAATAACGAATGAATAATATTAGTGCCTTCCTTATTAACGATAGTTTACAAAATAAAGATTGATTAAAATTTTTATTTCTTGACGAACCTTTAATAAGGTTCAACAAATTTTATATCTGACGGTTTTACTTTTTAGTTTCAGACCACCTTTTATAAAAAAATACTTTTTTTAGTAAAACTAAGAATAATAGAGTGTTGAGCTGAGGTGGCTTTCGCTTGATGAAAATCCGTTTAACAAAATAAATAAGTAATAAAAGTTGGGATTTTCACAAAATTATATATTTTCACATGACAATTGTTTCGACAACACCGTGTCGTTATCAAATGTAATATTTACAAACTACCTGCTACTATATATACCGAAAAATGACCATAAAACCTTAACTAATGTTGTTGTGAGAATTTAAGTTCATTAAAGGAGAGGTATTTAAATCTAATTGATCGTTAAGCAATACATTTGAATGTCTCATTTGTTAATATCCATGGCTTCCAATAAATTTAATTTTCTTCTTTTTGTGGCAGTATGTAAAATATCAAAATTGTCGTCAAAAATGTGTGTTTCTGTGTTTAAGTATGTAGCATAGTTTCAATCTAGACTATTGGTTTTAAATGCTCTTTTATGTTCGTTAATGTGTTTCTTGAATGATCTACCTGTTTGTCCAACATAAATTTTAGGACAAGATCCGCATTTCAACCTGTAGACACCTGATTTTTGAGATTTTAAACATTTCGTTTTATTGTTTTTTAAAAATTTTCCTATTGTGTTGTTAGTTCTGAAAGCTATTTTTAAACCACATTTTGACGAATGTTTTGAAACTTTTTCACTAGGTTCTCCTATGTATGTAATTGTTTTAAATTGTTCGTGTTCTGTATTAGGTTTCGGATAAATAGAGTTTACTGGTGTCTGGATTTGTTTTTTATTTATAAATTTATCTCTAATGGACGGATTGCAGCCGTTGTTGACTGCAATTTGTTTAATGATATTAAGTTCTTTGTTGAAATTTTTTGTGGTTTTATTGTCATTTTTCGGAATATATAGTAGCAGGTAGTTTGTAAATATTACATTTGATAAAGACACAGTGAAATCTGAACTTTCAGTTTTTATTTATTTTGATAATAGAGCATACCGCATTGGACACACTGTATATCTGTTAATAATATTAGTTGTCGTCAACCTTGGGGAAATGGGAGAAACGAAAAATATAAGCACTATGGTCTGCTTTTTCTGCAAGAACGCCTTCCAGACAACCCATCTTGCGTAAACCAAATTAATTATTATGAAATTAACCCAACAGCCTGAAACGTTGAGCCAGTTATACAAAATTAACTCACCTTAACGTATGGCAGATATGAGAGATTAGCTCGTTAGAAGTCCCTTAATCCCAGGTGGTTTCTCAGAGAATCGGCGAATTTGGGTTAAATAATTTTGCATCACGACCCGAGCCCCAGAGCGACATTTAATTAAAGTGGAAGTAACTTGTTTGAAGAGACTTAAAACGACAACAAAGGAAGAGTAAAGCGGATTCATTTTAAAAATTAAAAAATATTTTAAACAAGAGTTTTCCAATTCTTTCAACTTATGTTTCAAAATATATATTTTCCAGGACGTTTGTAAAATCAACTAGCATTCCACTTCCATTTTCTTTGCAGGCACTTTATGCAAAACTTTAAAATATTAAAAATATATTTGACACACGAATTAGTAAATTTACTGCAGCATAATGTATCTATTAGATCTTGGAACTACATTTCTAAGAGGTTCATAGCCTGAAAAGCTATACAAGCTGGTATATAATTTTCCAGTGTGTTGTTATGAGAGATTTAATGACAAAAGAAAAAAAAATTTTACAAATTTTCGATTGTTTTGAAGAACTACAACTGAAGCTTACAGAATAATTGCTGCAATCGTTACCCACAGAGCGAATGCGTTTCTTTAACTGATGTTTTAAATGAAACGAGGGATCAGGTAGCGGCGCTCTATAGAGCAACGTGAAACTATTTTCAAGGAGAATTCTCCGTAATGAAAGACACACAAGGCAAAGTACACTATTTTGTCGGAAATAAAGGACTTTCCTGCGATAAGGTTATATATGTCCAGACTTGAAGTATATTGCAAAACATGATGTGCTGGACCAAGTTTGTGGTGTTATACTTTAGTTTTTCTAAATACGTGAAGTGGATATGCATGTGTTATGAAGTACTTCGATCCATTTATTTACTCTCTATAAAGTAATTTAATCTGTCAGGATAACCTTATTGTTGAACCTCAAAGTCACCTGTATTGTATTATACTATTCTGCTTATTATTGCCGATAGATCTGCTTGGTATCTTTGTAATTGTTCGAACCGTTCAGGGATAAAGTATTGCGTCTCAAAATTTCATGTTATATTCTAAATATATTCTACATAATACATTTATTTATACGTGCATACTTATAACAAGACTATAATAGTATATTATGCAACAAGTGCGGTAAACGGGATTTGAGTTTATTTGGCACGAGCGGAGCGAATGTTGACTAAATGAGTGACTTGAAAGATAAAGATAGCTTTATTTCCAGAAGTTGAGTTACAAGGTTCGGATATTTTCGTTATAATACAAATATAAATGAATATAAAATTATGTTAATATGTTGTAATAAAAATAACAAATAAGTAGACAATACAAAACAATGAATACGTATTAAAATGTATCACACATTATAAATAAAATTTCCACGGCTTAAACGGTATAATCCGTAAAATGCATTTCTGCATCCTAAAGACTTCTTTTGCACGTGGGGAACCTCCCCAACAAATAAAGGCGTAGTTAACACAGGAATAGACATAGGAAAAATAGTACATTCTTATCAAAGAGTTAAACTTATTAAAATACAATGTTTTGAGGAATATTTTACTTTGTAATGAAAGTGCGCATATAGGAAAACACCATTTTTGGATTGATAAAAGAATGAAAAGAATTTTTCTACTCCCGTTTGTAAAATTCCTAATTACACACCGAACACCAAATCTATCGCTTACATTTTATGAGCAAAAGAATAAAAAAAGAAAATTATTTTTGAAATAAACAGGTAAGTGCTAATACCAGTAAATTTCGTAAATTATTTTTTCTACTTTTGACGTTTGTTCCCGGCATTTGACGTTTGTCAATTCCGAAGGTGATGTCAGTGAATGTGAATTCGAGTTGTTTGGCGAAAATGTACTCAAAAACTAACGGTCGTAGAAAAAGTATAGTATGCAACAGGTTCGGTAAACTTTTTAAGTCACTCGTTTATTAAACACTCGCTCCGCTCGTGTCAGTTAAATTCGTGAGTCAAATGGTGTTTACCGCACTTGTTGCATAATATACTATTTTTATAGAGATCCGTGGTTTTCCGATAGTTAGTGCGACGACTGTACAGCGACGATTAGTTCAGGCGAAACTTTATAGTAGACGTTCAGCAGTAGACGGGTTCTGAAAAAAATCGCTTTGCCAGGCTTGTGTTTGCACGATATTTAAACTCTAGAGTTCAAGAGTGGAAAAAGATATTATTTGGCGACGAAACTAGAGTAATGAGGCGACTACGATGTCCAGTTAATTCTAGATTTAATTGATAAAATTAACATACAAATTAGTATTGGTACCAGTTTTGACGATTATTTAATTTCATCAATGTCGCGACGTTGCCCAAAAGTTGTTGTCATTAAGGGATATCCCGTTAATTAGTTCTTGTTGTTTATATATTTATAAATAAAATTATGCTCTGTCAAAAGTTGCTTTACTTGTGTACTGAAGTAGATTATTACCTATTACTAAGTTATATGATATTTGAAGACACTCTTATTAGATCTATAATAATGGACCACTAAGACTACTTAAGCTGCATGATTATTGATTCGTTCAATTTCCAATGTTTAAATACTTGACTTCATCTTAAAGTTTGTCCGATTCTGTGTCGGTATGCATCGAAATCCTTAAGAAATATGTTCAACGTTTAAATTTATGAAGTTCACAGAGAAACCATAAATAGTATAATCAATAAATAATAGTAATATCAGCTGGATTGGTCGGTTTCGCTTAAATTAAACCAAGACGTAACCGAGGCAGCGAAACAAAAAATATAACCTTAATCTGAATTTGAAATTATTTTTCCAATCTTTACGCTGAAATATCGTCTTTCCGAAATAAAGACACCGAACCTAAAAAATTGTTTCGATATGATATTTACAGACACTTAGCCACCATGAAACTCCTAGTTATACTGGGCTCAAAATTATTAACTTAGTTTACACAAAGGAGGAACTTTTTTTAACTCTGTTCATCTCAACATCAAACATCAACATCAACATCAAACAGCAGATGTCACTTTCTACGTTTGCAACATTGATGAAAGATGTTATATAGCATTTATAGTTGGGGGAAAATTGTAAAATAATAATAAATGGCCAGTGTTGAGCTTTTTCGTAAATAAAATTAATAGTAGTCATCGCATCCAAACAAAACAAAAAGAGTTCATCCTTAGTCAATTATTTAGTAGTAGTGGTACAGCGGTCAATTTTCCTTGCATTTTTACCAGTTTATATTTTTTCAAAAACTTGTAGGTAGCTAAGCGTGGGATTTTTAAAGAATATTCATCTAATCTTGCTTAAATTCCAGTCCTGAAAGTGAAATATTAAATAATAATCTGTATACAAGAAAAAAACCAATGCAGCAAATTTATGAGAAAAAGGAGAGTTAGATGCCAATAATACATTTAAAAAAAATTGGAATGTTATTTTGCAATCCTTTCTTATGAGCAATAATAAGTTTTCTACCTCTTACTGACTGACTGTTATTTTAACATGTAAGAAATTAACGAACTAGTAGTATATATTTTTGATTGTTTGAATTTTACATCGTGGAGAAACGTTATAATTTTGGAAAATGGAAGAAAAATCTACTACACATTTTCCTTTACAAAACTATTCCTGATTTGAGACTTACTGGACGATCTATGACAATTCTAGGTTGCTTTTGATACCTTTATAATCAATGTTGTAAATCGTATACGTCAATATCGCCGTTTTCTATTTCAGGTCTCCTGGATCCGGAAAAACGATTCGACCCCCACAATTCTCACAGTAGGCCTTGGCGTGTATATCGCCGACGATCGGTTTTTCTTGGAACATACACGCCACCTGCAGAATTGGGGATTGGTTATAAAACATGTCCGACCTACAGACGCTGGGCTCTACGAGTGTCAAATGTCGACGCACCCTGCAGCTAGTATATTTATGGAATTAAAAGTCACAGGTGGGTAGTAAGTTTTGTTTTTGTTTATAACAGAAGTACGCTTTTATGTCAGCATACAGCAAAAGCAATAATTAACTAATAACTAACTTCGTTTGGTTCATCTTTGTAAAATGCAGGGTTATCTTTCGACAAAAGTTCCCATTTCAAGTCCAGTTGCTGATGTACGATATTTGCCAGTTGATTGTGTTTTCCTAAATCAGCATTGCGCTACACCAACCCATGATGTGTTCTATTGATTCTCCAGTATTGCTACATTTCCTACATTTATCAATGGTGTTGATTTTCAATATATGTTTTTCATAAGCCTTCAGTTTCAGGATAAAAACAGTCACTGTAGTCATGATATTTTGTGGATGAATGCGTCTTCGAGTGTTAGAGGGTATTTACCATGAAGTGGTTTTTCCTTTCAAGTTTGTATTTCTCGATGTAGTGTTGATGTTGTACCGGTTACTATTGGCATAGTTAAGTGGAGTGGTGCGAAGTTTTTATTAGCATTTCTTATAGACTGGATAATACGGTCTGTCAATTCTAATAATTTCGCACTAATTTTATTAATTATTATTATTATTATTATTATTATTATTATTATCATTATTAAATCATTAAATTAACCTGCGGCAAGAAAATATATTGTAAAATATAAAATTAACACGAATAATCCCATTTGTAACGAATCTGTTACGTGGCAAATGTATTATTTTACTTTGGCCTCATCTGCTCGCTCGTATGTAAAGTAGCGCGAATATTTACAATCCGGCTTTCAGCTTTTCGCGTTCCGTTTTACCAAACATATCATCCGTCACGATCCCTTCGAGACCCCCGTTGTCGCGTTAATTTGAAAATCTTATGCCGAACGTACTTGACCTCTTTGCCCTTTCATTGCAGAGGCCGTAGCTGAGATAACTGGAGCTCCTGAGTTGCATATTCGAGCCGGGTCCAGATTGCGTATCGTTTGCAGATTAAGGGATAGCACCGAACCTCCCAATTATATCTTTTGGTAAGATAATTAATACTAAACCTACTACCAGTTCTGTTCGCAATGAACGCTGTATAGAAAAGACACATAAGTTACTAAAACTGATTGTGTCGTGACAAGAAAGATGGTTCATATTTTGTTATAATTATTGCCGCTTTATAAATTTAAATAAAAAAAACAAAAGTTAATAAGATTAAAGCGAATGTTCTCATTTTGCTCTGAAACAAGATTGTCAAACAAATGAAAATAAGGTCACAATTATGAGTAAAGATTGATTTCCGAAATGACTATGTATAATTTGTAGCTATTATGGTGGTATATCAATACAACGAAAATTTGTAAATGCTATAAATTATAGATTTAATAGACAGACATTTTTTTAGTTATAGTGAAAACCTGTATTTCAATTGTATGCAGTATTTGGAAAATCGTAGGACAAATTTTGATTTATTATTGGAAACAATTTGGTTGAATCTTCTTTCGTTTTGGAAAAATATACTTTAACTGTAATCCCTACATTCAGCGAAACAGGCAAACGGTTGCTGTATCTAGATATCATTCAAACTCTCCAATTATCAGATGTACCCGTACTTAAAGCAGGGTAGAGAACGCGTTTCCGGATCTTGACCTATTTGCTCTGAGCTTTGAAACTTTAAACGACACTTAAGACGGTATACCAATTAACATACTGTAATAAAAAGCTGTAACTGGTAAAACATAATTTAATCTATTCCACTGACAAAGCATCTTTTTTTGTGCCATTTTGAGCTTCCCTTTTATTGGACAGCTGCGCCTGTCTGTTTAAAATAAGAGAGAGTGTCAGTAGTACATAATGTTATCTGCTTACTATTTTTTACTTCTACTACGTTTAGGAGACACTATCAAAAAATAAATTAAAATAACTGTTGATGTATAAACCACATGAGGTTCTTAGAGAAAGGCACATTCATTTGATATGAGGATTGAATAATAACGTCCATGTTATTCGAGGTTTTCTATTTAATTTCCAAAAACTGGTCCCAGCTTAAACACAACTGAGCACCCAGTATAAATGTAAGCTGTATAATATACTATATATAATAAAATTACTACATATACTAAATATACTGTATATAATAAAAACCGTAATACACGAGATAATAATATAAAGGATGTTGTGCGGGACACCGTGTATATATACAATGGATGTTTTTTTATTTTTCATCGTTAGATGGATTTACCAACAAAAAAAACAAATGCCAAACTATTAAACTACAACGTTGGCAAGTAGACATGTGTATCTTTTTTATTATTATTTTACATACCATGCAATACATACAATTTAGACGAATAAAACAAATTTTGTTCTGACTTCTTTTTAAAATTCTTAAATTCTTTCATTATTAATGCGATACATTTAAACCTAATAGTTTTTTCGATATTTTAATTATTCTAAGGAAATTCCACTTTTCGCAAAATAAATACGAATTTTAAATATTTGACATTACCGTTATTCGAAGATGACGTAAAAGATATATATAAAATAAACGAATATTTTTAGATCATTTTAAATTAAAAAATCTGGATTTTTTTAAATGGCAAACCATATATACTATTTTTTTTCTGATAGATCTTACGAAAATCTTCAGCGTTTATTAAGTTATCATAATATACCTATTTTTAATACCTTGCGATTTGTCTTACCATGTGACCACTTTTTGTGGGGATAGGTTAAAGATCGTGTTTATGTAAATCACCCAATAACACTACAACGTTAAAATATACGAAATAGACTAGAAAAAATGTTTATTTGTAGTAATAGGTATTTAATATTATTTAATTTTTCTGTGAATTTAAAATTTGGTCGTTATTTTCACCAAAATTGCATGTTGCTTTATCTGTGGCTCCAACAAAATTCATTCTCCTGTTCAGTTTTTAATCTTAACATAGCCTTGTTAGCTAGCTAATAGTTTTGTTATGGCCAACTAATATTATAGCAAAAGTGTTAAACAGAAACAAGGGTAAATATTGGAAAAGTTAAAATAAAAAGCAAAATACTAAACATGTGACATACCTAACTATTAAAGTTGTAGGTTTTTGTAAGATCTTTCAGATATATTCTTTTATTTTGAACACCCTGTAGCATTTAATTCAAATCCAGTTGCATATATCTCTCACGTCATCTTGGAATAACGCTAATATCAAAAATGAGTGATAATGGTTCTATCAAATTTTTTTTGCAAGTGCGAATACAAGTTTTGTTTTATAAAAATTAAAATATTAGAAATACTATTAGGTTCATGTATGTGTTATTATTAATAAAAACGTTTCGGAATGAGTACAAAACAAAATTTAAAACTAGTGTGTTCCTGTATACTATTGTAAACTATGCATTCTAACAATCTTCCAATTTACCATTTTCTCATAACTTTGGAAACCAATGGGATAATAAAGTTTTGTCTACCGTTGACTCACTCTTTACACGATATAGACGAAGACAATGGCAAAATTTGCATAGGGGCAATGTTTTTTTTTACCGAATTCGGGCTTCTAAAGTCTAAACACATAATTTTCAGGTATCACGAAGATAGAATGATCAATCATGACCCAGAAGTGTATGTGTCCTCGGATAGCACATCCAGCGTTCTCAGCATCAACGATGTTGATCCTAGTTTTAGCGGGAATTACACTTGTCTTCCGTCTAACGCTATAGCTGCGTACGTCAATGTACACGTCCTCAATAATACAGAAGGTAATTTTTATTAAAACGTACGTACCCGTAATGTCTGATTATTCTAAAATTTTAATTTTCGTATTTGTGTACAGATTTTCTCGATGGCTACACCGCAGATGCCAGAATGTACACCCTATTTTCTTTTATTACTAATGATTTCTTGGAATCTCTGGGAATTCTTTGACATTCTTCGCGGAATTCCGTCTGCGGTTTACCGTTCGAATTTTTTCTGAAAAACATTTATTAAGATTAAGTCAATATTGAAAGTTTTCTAAAACTGTAGTTCAGCTAGTTCGATAAAAAACTGGTACAACACAAAACAGTCTGTTTTGACCTCCAATATGGGGTGTAAAGACAGGTTTAGGCAAGAATTTTGAATCATAAAAATTAATGCGCATATTTTTAATAGTTGAGTGTTTTTTCCTTGTGGATAACGAATGGTTCTGTTCTGGTAAGTTGTTTCTCCAAGCCAAAGGCGTAACAGCGCGTATTTCTGTTGTATTGCCCTTGCGTAAGTACAAAAAGGTGTATTATTAAAACTGTTTTTATTACTAAAAACTGTTAATCAGCATTCACTGTTTCTTGGCAACACTAAATTGTAAGCAATAAGAGACATTCTCTTTGGAAGATTTGTGAAGATATCTTGCAAAAATGTATGTTATGCTTACACAGGGTGTTCGGAAGCTTGGGAGAAAGATTCAAAAATTCGTCATATCGTTTTGTCATATATTTTCCGAGTTAAAGCTTTTCAAAATTCTTTTTTTAAAATTGTATTTGTAACGCAGTGGGCTGAATCCTGAACGGAATAAACTGGTATTTTACACACGGCCCTTATTTGGTAAAAGTCCATAAAAAGTAAATGTGTTTCAGAAATCTGTCACAATTTTTGAATATTTGTGATTCTGTTTAAAGCAGTCTGTGTTATTTTGCAATATCAGTCTAAATAAATGAAATACAGGGAAAATAACAAAAAATGTAAAGTGTCCTCTAGTGATAGATGTCTGAAACATTTTTATTTTGTAACTTTTACTAAATCAGGGCTGTGTGTAAAATATATAAATATAATAAATAAATAAATAAAAATATTATATGTAAAATTAAAAAAAAAAAGAATTTTGACGAGCTATAACTCGGAAAAAATTACGATTTCGAATTTTTGTTAGATTACTTACCACCATTTACCACGTTGAATTTGGTTCAATTCTATTGTTTATCATTGATTGTTTTATCATTGAAATCGTCTAAACTAAACAAATTCAACTTCCATTTATTTTAAAAGTAAAAAAATGATTTTTAACCTTTAAATAAACAACTTAAAAATTAAATTCAAGAATTGTAACAAGTTTCGAAGGTGGTTTTACCCTTATCAGCAGGGGATCAACATTTTAATATAAAGACTTGGGGACACTGATCTTCTTGAACTGAACTAACTGTTTGTCTGCCCGAACCCCTTGTCCTGTCAAACGTTTTATTAATAGAAGAACCTTTGTATTGATTACATTAAAATGTTGAGCTACCGCTGATAAAGACCGACCATCTTCGAACTTGGACACAATTCTTGCTCTTAACTATTTGCTCGTATGTGGAGCCTTTAGGCCTCCTTTTGTTTCCTAACGTATTTGTGACAACGCTGACAATTTCTTTTCTTCGACAGTAACTGTATAAGAAATATAAAAACAATGAACAACAACATGGCGACACTGCTCAAAACAAAACAAAAAAAGTGCTTTAAGAGACGTGTCAGTTTTTTATGAATTCAGTCGGACAGTGAACGACAAAAATATGGAACAAATTCACTTAACAAAATAAATAAAATAAAAACTAAAAGTTCAGATTTTCATGAAATTATATATATTCACATGGGAATTTTTTAGACAACACCGTGTCTTTATCAAATGTGTCTAAAGAATTTCCATTAGAATATATATAATTTCATGAAAATCTGAACTTTTAGTTTTTATTTATTCTGTTAAATAGATTTTCGTCAAGTAAAAGCCACCTCAGTTCAAATTCATTCGAAAGTGGATAGCCATAAATGAAACACCATTTTCTTCTACTCCCGTCTGTAACATGCCTACTTACACACCGATCTAGCGTGCGGGAAGCGTCACCTTACTACGTCAGTTTCATTTCTCACGGATCCGAGCCACTTCGGATATTTCCGGGATTTTACGGCCGGGGTTTGGGAGCAATCGGGTCACTCGTTAATTGAACACTCGCTCCGCTCGTGTCAAATAAACTCGTGAGTCAAATGAGCTGACCCGAAGATGATTCCATCCGCAGACTACATATTTGTGACAACGCTAACAATTTTTTTTTATTTGACGGTGACATTATGAGCAATATGAAAACATTGAGATTTGCATGAGAACGGCATGGTGGCCTATAATACACCGCTCAAAACTTTTACAAAAAGTGCCTTAAGAATCGTATCAGTTTTTTATGAAACCAGAGGTACATATCAGCAAATTATTTTTTCTATTCCTTACTCTAAAATACTCAATTGTGCACGGTTCAGGTGTACGTACAAGTTCATTCTGAAAGTTTCTATAAAAATTGACATACAGTGACTTACAGCTTAAATGATGCAGTCGCTATAACAAAAACTAACTGGTCTGTATGTATGAAGAAAAAAACAACTTACTGGAATTAAATTAATAAAGAGAATTCTAAAAAAGTGTGAATTACTTTTTGTCTTAAATATGCCTTACTTAGTTAACAATATAGAATTCATTAAATTATATACAATATTAACGTCACAGCTTAACCAACTAGTCTTCTGGATATTGATTCAACTAATTTTGTAGTATATTCCGCGAAAATTGTGTTCCATACTTTAGAAATTTTTACTTTTAATTCATTCTTGTTAGATGTTGGGGCACTATTTAATTTCTTTTTCAACCACAAATTTTCATTTACATTTAACTTTGGTGGCTGGGCTGGTGTCTTAATAATATTTTGGCAATAAAGCAAGTAACTGCGAAATGACCCGAAATGACTTTTGCTTTGGATCATTGTCATGACAGAAGCGATAATTGTTACCCATATTTAATTTTTGAATACAAGCAATCAGATGTTGTCTTAATATGTCCAAATACACATATTGGTTCATATTTCCTTCCATGAAATGCATATTATCTACTCCTGCAGATAGCATTCAGCCCCATAACGTCACTCCATCTCCACCGTGCTTTACCGCAGCATTTAATTTTTTTAATTTTAATTCTTCCTTAGGTTTTCTCCATACCGATATTTTTCCATATAATCCAAATAAGTTTATTTTGGTCTCATTGGCAAATATTACTGATTCCAGAAGTTCAAATCTTTATCGATATGCTCTCTAGCGAATACCAATTTCACGCGTCTATTTCTTCGGTCACATTTATCTGGGTCCCAGAACACTATGGAATCCGGGGAACGAGAGGACAGGCTAGCAAAAAGTGGAGCTTGTCACACCTACCCGTTCTACCCCAGTACCTGACAGCTTCATTAAAAGTCTATTTGACCAGAGATCTAGCAATAGATTTCTGCATATGTGGCTTGAAGCTGTATGAGCCCTCTTTCAGGAGCCGTCCAGGACTGTTGCTAGCCTTATCGGGCTCAACAGGAGCTGAGGCTAACTAACTATAAACACTGGCATCATACAAAATGTATTATGTCCAAGATGAAACGCAGCGGATGAAACTCCTTTGCATGTACTTGTCGACTGTGAACCACTCAGCAAACTCCGAAATGAAATTTTGGGAGTGGACACAGGAAATAGTATCAATATTCTGAAAGTGGGTGTTGGATGGCTTCTCTACACTCCCTCCTAACTCACGAATTGTCCTTTACAGGGCTCGGGCAGAATGGCACAACAAACTGAGCGCCCGGCTCAAATGAATTCAAATTCATTTCAATTCAATTCATCCATTCCTGCGATGAGTAATACTTAAATTTCTCTTAGAAATTGTAGTCCGACGACCCATTTAAAAAAAAATCGTTTTACTGAACGAAAACTTGCTTTAAAGTGTCAAACTAAACAAGAAACTATTGCAATAAAAATAAAAATTTCGAACTAATAATTTTTGATGTCGGTTATTATTTTTGCATCATTTAAGTTGTGACGTTAATATCGCACATAATTTAATGAATTCTTATTTGTGAACTAAGAAAGGCATATTTAAGACAAAAAGTAATTCACACTTTTTTAGAAGACCTGTTAGTTTTTGTCATAGCGACTGCATCATTTCAGCTGTGAGTCACTGAATTTGCCGTTGGTAAGCATGAAACTGTAAATCAATTCGATTGAACATAATAATGGATAGAAATGTTTACACGAATGTAATCTGCTGCATTTGTTTATTTTTCATGGACAGTGTGGTCAAATTTTGATCGTATTTGTTATTTAGCGTGACTACTAAACTTAGTCTGCAACCATAATAAAGAAAATTATTTTGTGATTCTCCAAACATCTTCTCGTTGGTTGTTTAAAAATCAGGATACATTTTATTAAATTTTCAGCCTGATCTTGCAATTATTTGGCTACATTGTTAGCGAAAGATAAACAAAGGCATCAAAGCTTTATTTGAATATTTCTCTGTTTCACAAAATTTCCATTTCCAAACCTGCCGTTCACCGTGGATCACTTTGTATATTAAAATCATTACACGTGTCACCGTCTAGAAAACAAACAAAACAAACAATAAAATGTGACTTCAGGAAGCCTTGAGTGACGGTAAAATATCGGAACTAGGGGAGCTTTTCCCAGTAAACAATCACAAATAATATAAGGGTAAAAGTTGGAACGATTAACGAAAACAAGCTTAACGTTCTCCTCAATATTTCCTGTATCATTTTGTGTTTAATATTTTCTGCTCCCGCTTGGGTTATAAAATGATACAAAGATGTGTATTAGTTATTAAGGTTCAGTTATTAAAATTATAATCATGACTGGATGTTTTTTTTTTTAATTTTTTACATTTTCTTAAACGTTTATTTTGTTCAACGTTTTTAATCCGGAACGGAGTTCAGGTATG